CAGTGCTACTTGAAAGTAAGAAATTTCCACCTGACGAGTAACCCAGAAGTTGGAGACAATTCCTTACAGACGTAGCTGTGCCAGTGCCCTCAACGAAAACAGTCGTTTCTTTGTAGGATACTTTCACCCAAAAAGCACTGAAGAGGACAGTTTTTCTATTCAGTTTCTTCTGTTCGAATGCTTGTGGTAAGCTGGCACTAGGACCATTCCCCCTCCACCTTTACTCTTTTCTTTACAATAAGGCTTCCAAATAAATCATGGTTGTACGGCAGTGAACAATCGGTGTTGAATGCTGATGTCATGCTGTCTATGATGATGATGATGATGACGATGTGTCTGCCACAACAACCGCCGTCCTAGTGATCGACTGCCTAATCTGTGACCCCGGTCGTATGGTAGCCGTTGGATAAACTAGGACGGAACGAGTTCCGTTCACCCTCAACTGAAAGTTGAAGGCAACCCATAGTTTGCTCAGTTTGCAGGAGGGTTTTCCACAATCAGCAAAAGACCAAGGTTTTGTATCCATGTCCATCAGTAGAGAACAGTTTACGAATGCGTAAGCTATTGACCAATGTCACGTGTGTCGCATGGTTCAAAACGAGAAAACTCTAAGGAATCTAGGACAAAATGATGAGCCTTACTCTGTTATCGTAACAACTTCTCTTCTGGTCAGTACAAATCGATTGTTTATAATAAAAAAAATAACAGTGAATGATACTCACAATCAAAATACTAACAGACAGGAGTTTTGATTAAATTTTGAGCATTACCAAGGTCAAGGTCGAATGGCCGAATGTCGGTTGGTCACGCGAGCAAACCGTTGTAGTCTAATTGCGCGTACGAATGCCTTCTGAGTGCACCGACTCCAATGGTGTTGACGAATTTCACTGGTCTTGGATGTAGAAGGTATCGATACTGAACGAGTCCTGGTGAAAATAAAAAGGCTTTCGCTGCGGAGTTATTTATTAGAGAAACACCAACTGAACAGTTGCAGACTATTGGACAGGGAAGCAAAACTCTCATATGCATCTTGTTTACAAAACTGAATATCCATCTTCTCCTTGAACGCGTCTTCCTGAATTTTCCTGGATATTCATTGACTGTTGCTCAAATGCAAGCAAATGCGACTCCACAAATTCCGCAATAGACCTCACTTTTCAAGAGACGCGAAGCGGGTTTACGAGAACAGACTACTCGCATGCGTCATCAGTAGTATCCACCGTTACACTGATAAATAGGAATTGATTCGAGTACGCTAAAATCAACATTGGAATTGAACAAATGATTCAACCAACTGAACGTATGTTGTACTACTAACAGGCTTCCTTGATTCGGTTGCTACCCAGAAGGAGCTACACTAGTTTTGCTGCTGCGGAATCACCGTTGTAACGGTGATGCTACTAATGGGCGAAGCGAGTAGTATGTTTTCTCGTAAATCCGCGTCGCGTCTCTTTAAAAGTGAGATCTATTGCGGAATTTGTGCAGTCGGTCCTAGGAACAGTCAATGATTATCCAGGTAAGTTCAGGAAGATGCGTTCAAGAAGAAGATGGACATTAAGTTTTTATAAACAAGTTGCATATGAGAGTTTTGCTTCCCTATCCAATAGTCTGTAACTGTTCAGTTGGTGTTTCTCTAATAAATAACTCCGCAGCAAAGGCCTTCTTCCTTTCACCGTGTCTTCCCTTCAGTAAGCTCTGCTGAACTTCAGCGGGCGAAGGAGTAAGCCTGGACCACGCTGAGTGAAACAACGAGAAAGGACTTCTGAAGTGTGTGATATAGACACCGATTTAGATAGTCTGTTCCTAAGATGGCTTTATCGGGGCTCACTTTCCAAGGGCGGTTGGTTCGTAAAACGGGGAATTCTCTCCGGATACAGAGAAGAAAAGGAAACAATGGCTTGTTTAAACAAAGGACAAATGTAAGCAATTGTACGGCTCGATAATTATCCTGGGAAAATCAAGTTCTGTTTATTTGTGCCACACTACATAACCAAATAGTGGCTGGATCACAAATCCCTTTCCTTCTGTAGAATTCTAGTTGCCCAAGTGAACTGAATTTCGAATTGGGCCTGTCGTTAAGCGTGAGTGCTGTGTACAATTTTCTGTGCAACTACCGTTTTGGCTTCTCTGTGCTTCCCAAGCCATGGGAATGAAGAAATACACTAAAACGAATTTCTGCGTCTGGGTCGATACTGGTCCAAAGAGAACGAAGCTAGTGGATTGGGTCGAATAATCTCTTGGTTGTTGGTCTGTTCGTCGAGCTTCGTATCACCAATCGAGACCGATATCACTACAGTAGAGGGTCTCCTATGTGCACTTTTCTTGGGGTCTGCGAGATCTTTGCCTTGGTGGCTTCCACCTGAGCCTACAACGGCTTCGGCAGGGAGAATATCCCAGGTTAGTTTAACCGAATCGGAAGTTCAACATGCGACTAAGTTGACCGGACAAGACCTACTTCAAATCCCATGTGGATGTGGGTGAAAACGCTCTGACACTAGGGATTTTATCAGCAAGGCCAGGTTGCTGAAGGCAGCCACTGAATGCCTGAAATCTACAGAGACTCTCATCTCCGCTAGATGTTGATCAGACAAACAACGCCCCCTCAATGTGCAGCGCTTCACAGCCTTGTATCAAACCCAGACAGCGCGAGTCAGCGTTGGACAAAGTTCAGAAAGTGTCCCTCCAGTGCTTAGCTTGAGACCGTTGTATTTTCGCACTCTCACGCTCTCGCACTCACCTGTGTGCTGCTCCCTTCTGTGGGTCTTTCTATCCGTCACTAGGCACTGGAGCGGGTCAGCAACCAGATACAACAGATTGGCGAATCAACAGATATGACAGATTTCGTCCCCCAAGATAGATTCAACTTGTCCTGAAAACGGAGAGGACATTCCTTCGTATGACACTGCAACTAAGGTTGATGGTCACCGCTGGACACCCCTTTACCGGTCTCTTCAACGGTGGGAGGTCATTAGTTGAGTCTTTGTGCAGCACACTGTTGAGCGTCACATCTCAATGAGACTCAGTTAGGTGACATCAAAGCGTGACATCAAAGCACGAATGGAAGGAAATACGTTTGCCACCCCTTCCTGATAAGCCACAAATTTAGCGTAACCCGTGTTGGCTGACCAGGAATTTCCATCGGAGTCAAGTGAGGGTAATTAGTTGGAATATCTTTTCAACCGAAGCATAAAGAGATTTTTGTGCAGACCGGAATTCACCCAAGTCTTTCATTGCCACATGTGTACGTGACGAGTGAGTTTATCTGCACACACACACACACACACACAAACTTTCGTTTGCTGAATGAGCAAGTAGAACTTCGCAACACTTTTATACCAACAGATCCATGGGGTGATATACTGATCATATCTACCCTATGCAAATACCCTTCAGAACTGCGTCTCAAGAAATGCACCTTGCTCCCTTGAATGGGATGAATTGTTGATTCGGCACAGTGCACAAAATGCCTCTCCGAAGTCGTGGTGGTTGAAGTCCAAACTATACAGTCAAATCGCAGCCATAATACGCCCTGCACAAGGTAGGAGTGTTGGCCGAGAGGTTAGCTGGACACTTATCGACTGTATACTAAAGTAAGCTCTCCAAAAATATTTGTAGAGAGGGGAACCTGACCCACGCTAGCTTGTGTGGGAATATCGTGAGGCGTGGTCTTGCCGAAACTAAGTTCTCCTAAACATTTTAGCTTGTCTCAGAGAAATTTTCTTTCGCATATAGCTGGAAAATCAAGCGAGACATGTTGGAGTTTGTTCCATAAATGACCCAGGAGTGATACTAAACTGTACAGGGAAAATGCCCCACCAAACAGGTATTAGTTCGATGCTATAGGCCGAAAAAGTCTTACACGTCACTCGAAGAATATTCAGCGAGCAGATATTATGTGTAGTGGTTCTCCAAAGGAGACCATCTGTGATGTGGTCCCTACTGGAAATGTCTGCGCTCCGGAGATCGATCAAACCCGTGGGTTTATATGATCACCGAACAGACATGGATTTTTTTGTACCACGTAATATATGGTATGATATTAGGTGCATTAAAGATGGAATGCCTCTACATTCCCGTACTCTCTTTGATTGATGCAATCTCTCCAAGAATTTACTTGTCTTAAAGACCCTGTCGGCTAGGTGGTGCCACAGTGGAGTTACATGTTTATGGTAGAGAGTGATTAAGCATAGTTAGCCTGGTCTTTTTTGGACTAAATTAAAACATAAGGTGACGGAACTTGGGGGACTGCGCCTACCTGGTGAGCCCCAAGAAGGGCGAAACCGGTCGTTGGCTGTCGACGGATTTTCAGCAACCTTATGAGTAGTACACTACAAAGATATACATGTATCGTGATATCTGGAATATCGTAGCGACTGAAACATGTGGCGGCCTGGTGCAGCACATTCATTTGCCAGGAAAAATCACGAACGAGAGATTCAGCTGGGTTCCAGGTGAGTCTCTCAAAGAACTAAATTAGTTTGCAAGTAAGTGTATAATCGCTAAGTTCGTGCAATTTGGTTTCAAGTAGAACATAAGGTTGACGGAAACTCGGGGACTGCGCTTACCTGATGAGCCCCAAGAAGGGCGAAACCGGTTGTGGGCTGTCGAAGAGTTTTCAGCAACCTTACGAGTAGTGCATTACAAATATACATCACCTTTAATGGAAAGGAACATCCTCTTGTTTTTCATGACTTGATCGTCCAAAGAGCTGGACTGTTTAGCGGCCACATGACTGAGATTTGGTATAGTGTGTGAATTCACAATACCTGTGTTTATTTTAACTGGAAAACCTAGACAAACCGCCGTTCACCTGACGTTCTGTGGTAGATCTTGTGATTGGTTGAATCACACATCGTCCTTGAGATCGCCCAACTGTGTAGAAGCGTATTTACCAAGCTCATTAGGAAATATCAGAAAACTGCACCAGGGGAATATTGAGATTCTAGTATCATCATCATCCTCATTGTCAACATCGTCTTCATCATCATCATCGTCATCATCATCATTGTCAACTGTAATAAAGGTGTACTTGTCGTACAGTGGTCGTAGCTGAAATCGTTTCTTTCACCGATGATTCGAGGAGGTGGGTAGGTAACTGTGCTTTGGAGGTGGAAGCTAACAAATCGGTGCTTAAATACAGAGCTGTCAGCGAACTATCAAGTGTGAAAAAGCGGTTTGTGTCGGAGATCAACAGGGCCGAAACTGCAACAACTTTGTGCGAAAGTTCTGTTGGATAAGTCAGCATTTTCCTCTTCAACCTAATGATGGAGTTAACGGAATCGGGATGAAGCGGTCCCTGTGG